TCCTATATTATTTAATGATAATTAGATTTAATCATGATTATAAGAATTTTGATTGCCCACATACTGGAGAATTTATTTTCAATTTTTTTTAATCTTCCCAGACAAAAGATATATGGTATTTCATGCAATCTGAATCTCCTAAGCATTTCCAATAATATGGTTGTGGTTCCTTTTTTCCCCTTTCCCTGGTAAGAATGCACATATAAATTTGAAGAAGGGAAGATGGTATTATTAAAGTAATAACTATACCTCTAATTTATTAATTGCTAAATATCTGTGGTAGGTACACCTCAAAAGTGATAAAGAAATGATCCTGAGAAGCACAACACTAGAATGTTCTAAACTTGTCTTGGTAGGGGGATAGTTTCTGGAAAGGAATAAAAGGAGAAATTACTTACATTTCCATCTTTCGGTGGTATTGTCAACTCCATGTACCCATGAGGAATGTACTTCTGACTGTAATCAAAGCGGGGCTTCTTCATGAAGTGGCTTCTGACAGTTGAGTAGGCTCCATCACATCCTACAATGAGGTCACAAGTGATGTCTGTAGGAACATTGTCAGAACTGAAAAATAAAATAAGCCATAAAGAAAAATGTCTAATGATGAAGACAATGGTGGACCATTCTGCGAACATGAAAAGCAATAGTTCAAGACTTGGAAGACTTACATGTCTGGCTTAAAGAAAAGCTTCAAACCAGTTCTTTCCAGTTCGGTTAAAACCAATGTGATGAAACTAGAAGGGACTAGAATTTGTAATATTTGGTATATTAGTATGATTATCAGAATGGGAAAACTTAAAAATTGATGTCCTGCTAGAAATGTAATCTCCTACTTAGAAAACAAATGTAGCACATTGTTTTTATCATATCATATCAACTCAACTGGGATCCTAGCAAATATGAACGTGGCTTTGTGTCATCCTGACCATCTCTGACACACTTGAGCCCACCATTAGAGCCACTGTGTCAATTCATCTTGTTGAGGTTTTTTTCCCTCCTTCACTGACTCTCCACCTTTTCAAACATGATGTCCTTCTCCAAGGACATCACAGTCTCTTATCAAAGCATAAAAGATGATGTTTCACCATCCTTGTCTCCAAGGAGAACACTTTTTCAAAGACATACTTGTTTGTTCTCTTGGGAATCCATGGAATAATCGGTTCTCCTCTCTAATTCCACAACACAAAGCATCAATTCTTCTTCTACCATCTTTAGTCAGTGTGTTCCACAGGAACCAAATATCTTAACCAAAAGTGCCCAGTTCAAATATGGTGGCTGAATGTGTACCGTGCTCCACAATCCTGGCAATAATCAATTTCCTTCATCAGTTTCCTGGAAGGACTCTTCTTAGTACTCCATTTCAGTATTTTGACCTATAATTTTTCTTGTTTTGCTTATCATTCCAGGACACCTGTAATTTATGAATTCACATCTGTTCTGTTACAAACATGTTCAAAGCCCTGATTTGGAGCTTTGAATTGAAAGCTGGGAAAACTAGGCCAGGTGCTGGTTGTGGAACAGACTATCAACTACTCATATGCAAGTTCAATCTGAAGCTGAAGAAAATTAAATCAATTCCACTTGAGTCTATCCCATATGAATTTCAAAACCTCCTCAGGAACAGGTTTGAGGCCTTGAACATTAATGATAGAAGACCAGATGACCTGTGGAAGGATAGCAAGAATATCATCCAAGAAGAATACAAAAGGTCATTGCAAAGACAGAGGAGGAAGAAAAGACCAAGGTGGATGTCGGAAAAAACTCTAAATATTGCACTGGAGTACCAAGAAGCCAAAGCAAAGGGAAGAAATCAAGATATTAAGGAGTTGAACAGAAGATTTCAGAGGCCAATGCAAGAAGACAAAGTAAAGTATTACAATGAAATGTGCAAGCAGCTGGAGTCAGAAAATCAAAAGGGCCGAACTCGCTCAGGTCTACTTAAGCTGAAGGAACTGAAGAATAAATTCAAACCTTGAGATGCAATACTTAAGGATGCTGAGGGCAGAATATTAAATGATCCAGGAAACATTAAAAGAAGATGGACACCACAACAAGATAAAGGTAAATAATCCAATTGAAAAATGGGCAGAGGATATGAATAGACACTTCACCATAGAAGACATTCAGATGGCCCACAAGCACATGAAGAAATGTTCAAAATCCCTAGCTCCAAGAGTGATGCAAATCAAAACAACTATGAGATACCATCTCATCCCAGTTAGAACAGCAAAATTTAACAGAACAGCCAGCAACAAATGCTGGCGAGGTTGTGGAGAAACTGGAACACTTATTCACTACTGGTGGAAGTGTAGAATGGTGCAATCACTGTGGAAGGTGGTGTGGCACTTTCTCAAAAAGTTGCAAATAGAAATACCATTTGACCTAGCAATTCCATTCCTGGGAATATACCCCAAAGAGACCATAATGGCCACCCAAGCAGATATATGCACACCCATGTTTATCACAGCTTTGTTCACAACAGCAAGGAGCTGGAAACAACCTAAGTGCCCATCAACAAAAGAATGGATAGAGAAGCTGTGGTATATTCACACAATGGAATACTATGCTGCATTGAAAAACAAGGAACTCATGCAATATTATTCAAAACAGGTGACCCTGGAGGACATTATGCTGAGTGAAGTATCTCAGTCACAAAGAGACAAATAGTGCATACTGCCACTGTTGTAAAATGGGACTGACATTGGGGGTGGGGGGAGACTGAGAAAGATGGGATAAATAATGTATACTGCATTGAAATAGATGAGGGGGAAAACTGTTTAAAAGGGATATGTGATTAGGTATTTTTGTTATGACAGAAGCCCAGAATGAAGGCTGAATAGTGGAGTGGACCTGAGGGGAGGAATTATAAAACAATGAAAGAATTTTACTTTTCAAAGAGAAGAGTATACTGAGGTGGGGGAGAGATGGGCAGGGAGAAAAGTGCAACAGTGAATTAATGGAAATCCAAAGTTTCTAAATTTTCATTAAAATTCATTTTTAAAAAGTTTTAAAAAAAGAAGATGGAAAGAGTATACAAAGTCATTGTACCAAAGGGAATTGGTGGACACAGAAGAATTTTATTAAATAATGTATGATGAAGGAAAAAGTTCAAACTTCTCTGAAAGAATTGGCAAAAAACAAGGCCTATGGATTGACATATTTAAACAAACAGATGCTGTCCTGGACGTGCTCATGAAGTTGGGCCAAGAAATCTGGAGGACAACCACTTGGCCAACTGACTGGTAGAGATCTGTATTTGTTCCCATTCCAAAGAAAGGTGATCTGACAGAGTGTGGAAATTATCAAACAGTATCATTGATATCACATGCAAGCAAGATTCTGCTGAAGATTATCTAAAATGACTGGAACAGCACATCAACAGAGAACCGTCTGAAGTGCAGACTGGATTTAGAAGAGGCCGTGGCACTAGGGATAATATACCGAATGTCAGATGAATCTTGGTTGAAAGCAGACAGTACCAGAGGAATGTCTATCTGTATTTCATTGATTATGCAAAGGCATTTGACTGTGTGGATCACCATAAACTGTGGCTGACTCTGAGAAGAAGGGAAATCCCAGAACACTTAATTGTGCTTATGTGAAGTCTATATTTGGACCAGGAGGCAGTCATCAGAACAGAGCAGGGAAACACTACATGGTTCAAAATTGGGAAGGGTGTGCATCAAGGATGTGTCCTATCTCCATATTGTTTCAATCTATATGTGGAACAGATTATCTGGGAGGCTGGGATCTATGAAGAGAAATGTGACATCAGGATTGGAGGTAGACTCATCAACAATCTTTCTTATGCAGATGACACAACCCTGCTTGCTGAAACTGAGGAGGACCTAAAGCGCTTGCTGCAGAAGGTCAAGGACTGCAGCCTTCAATATGGATTGCAGCTCAACATCAAGAAAACAAAGATTCTCACCACTGGGCTGATTGTCAGCATCATGATAGATGGTGAAGAGATTGAGATTGTTGACAGCTTCAGTTTGCTTGGCTCTATGAGCTAAGTGGATGTTTTGAAGTGGAGGCAGAGAACAGAGAGAGGAGAAAACAGAGATGAGGTGGTTACCTACAATAACCTATGTTTGCAGCAGTAAGAGCCTGAACTGCTGTACTGCAGAAGACATAGATTCTAAAGTTTGTAAGACATAGGAAAGTCTAGGTAGGATTTAGAAAATGTATTTAATGGGGGAAAGTTGATAAAAGACACATAAAGAATGAATTGGACTTTTTTTAGTAATAGTGCTAAGGAAGTCCACCACACTTCTATCAACTTGTGTTCTGTGGTTGCTTAAACCTTTGTGTGATGCTAGAAGCTGTGCCATAGACATTCCAAAATCCAGCAGGGCCACCCACAAACTACAAGTTGCAACAGACTTTTCCTACAAAAACATGACAGTCAGGTCTAATGACATACTTCTGAAAATTAGTTCATGAAAACCCTAGAAATCACAACAGAATACTATTCGATGTAGTGCGGGAAAACAAGTGTCCATGGAAGGCACTCAGCTCCACAGTGGTCATGACAAAACTCAGAATCACCCAGCTAACACACATCAGACAACTTTCCATTCTCTTGTCTGTGGGGTATCCATGAGTCAGGAAGGACTCAATAGTAACAAACACCGCTCAGGACATCAGAAATAAAATGTGTTTTGGGAGAAATAGATGATTAAACTTTTAAAAGCCTTTAAGATAACGTCATGATGTATAATGAAGAGGATTCCTAGGAAGCTACAGCCACAGGTCTGAGAATGAAGACAGAAGCTTGGATTGAAAGAGTTCTTCACAGAGATGTGAATCTACAAATAGTGAATCTGTGTTTGTAACTTCATGATCTCCAAAAGTGGCTATGAGGCACAGAAATTTATAGGCAATAGGATTAGTCAAAGAAAGACAGAAAAGAAGCTTCCAGAAAGAGAAGATGGAAGAAAGTGACATATTTCAAAGGAAGAAAGAGTTTTAATTTTGTCATGAATGTTGACTAGAAAGCTGAAAGAGCATGAACCAGAAGACGCCTTAGCCAAAACTCAAACAAAACCAATTGCAGCCCAGTGAGGGAGCTCTGGTGGTGCTGTCCATAGGGGCTTGTGCTGCTAATCCAAAGTTCGCGACTATGTGGCATTTCAAATCCAACAGTGCCACCAATGGAGAAAGATAGGTAATCTCCTCCCACCAGATATACAGCCTCAGAAATCCAATGGACGGTTGCTATGAATAAGTTTCAACTTGATGGCAATGAGCAAGAAGAAGCTGTCAAGTGATACCAACTGCTAGCGACCTTATAGGGAGCTCTGGCGACCTAGGGGGTGAGGAGTTACACTGCCAATCCAAACGCAGGCAGTTCAAATCCATCAGCTGCTCCACAGGGGAAATACTAGCAATTGCCTCTGTTGAGCTATGAGTTGGTTTCAACTCAATAATAATTAGAATAACCTTACAGGACACAGCAGAACTGCTTTAGTTGTCATGTGTTGTGGAGTCAGAACCAACCCCTAGCTGACCCTCTGGTGGGTTTTCAGTGGCAGTTAATCACACAGAAGAAGATTGCTCACCCTTTGCAGGATAGCTGGTGGTTTATTACCACTAGGCTACCAGAGCTCCCTACAAAAGTGTTAGTGGATTTCAATGGCTGACCTTTCAGTTAGTAAGCCAGTGTTTAAATCACTGTTTCCACCCTCACACCGCCAAACCCTCCCCACACCTCCCACTGCCACCCAATGGTCCTTGGTCTATTTGAAATCTAAAATATATTGACTTAAAATTTTTTTCTTTACCCTTCTGGTAATTATTTAACTCCTTAAAAAAATTCTTTAACTCTTTCAAAAGATCCCAGGAGCAAAGTTTACAGATCCCTTTCCACTCCAACCCTTCAGTTCTGAAGTCCAAAATCTGACGCAGCAGTTACCCCAGTACTGTGACCAGCCCTTCCTCCGGGTTGCATTTCAACAGCCGGCAGCCGAAGTGCACCTTTGCATTGGGATATTTCTCAACAGCTGAGGAAGCAAAGAAAATAAAGACAAGGGGAAAGAAATTTTCATGTTTATGCTGTAAAAATGAAATTGAGATAGTAACCATCTTTTGAGAAGAATATAATAGATGATATTTATTATTTGAAATGCAAGATTGAATTCATTATAATGGTAACTTGACAAATATTTGCCAACTCTCTTATATAATATGGTACTAAATCAGATTCCTAAAAATCAATTATTCTCATCCCAGAAAACGCAACTAATTTTATCAATACAAACTCTCATATCATTGTCACTGCTGTCACTCTAAGAAAGAAGCAACTGTTGAATAGTTATAAAGCTGCCTCTACAAAGTGTAGAAAAGCTTTGTTTAATGTTTGCTACTAATATCTATATAGATTTAGGTATAAAGATATAGAGGTATATAACAAAAGAAGTTGCCTCTAATTTAAGGCATTATTTGTGTTGTGACTAGAAATATTCAGCCGTGTACTTTTCCTCACACACTGCCTGTCTCCTTATCTTTTTAAGAAAGTTCTATGGACTTCAAATTCAAGTTGCCTTGAGTGGAGATTATTGGCATAAGGTCTTTTTGGTATCCAACAGGAGAAATGGATAGAGGAAAGAAAGCAAGAATCCTTGATACTTTTCAATAAGTAGAGGCAAATTATTTTGCAGTCCTTTTTTGCTTGCAAAGAATCATTACAATTTAGTGAAGTTCATCTTCCGATCTATTAATCATGTCCTTGTAATAAAATAAGATTCGATCAAGTTCTATTTAGTCCCTATTGGAAAATAACGAATATTGTGATCCACTTAAGTACTTCAGATGTGACTACTCTCAATTGTTCCATTGCACACACTGGATTATGACAATTTACTAATTTGTCAAAGGCTCTAAAAGAATAAAACTTTATTATTCAGTTGAACATACATAATTGGGATGGGAGTGTCAGAGACAGTGCGATTGGCACAGGACAGAGCAGAGTTTAGGGCTGTTGTACATAGGGTCGCTATGAGTCGCAAGCGACTCAACGGCACATAACAATAACAACATTCAGTTGAACATTTAAATGATAGTATTTTAGATATACTGGATTAAGTGAAATATATTATTGACATGATTCCCATCAATTTATTTTCATAGTGTGGGTGATATAAAACATTAAGTTAACAAATGGATTGGGCATCACATGACACATTCGATACACTGGTAAAGGAGATGCTTAGTGCAAATTACATTATCAGTTCATTTGACTGCATATTCTAGCTTTGGATGGTTTAGTTCAACAGTTAATGACCACCACCCTACACGACTAGTAAACCAAGAAACAATCCTGTGTGAAATGGTGATGTGCAATGATTTGGTTCCAATGTTTTCAGACAGGATGCTATTCAATGAAGGAAGAACGTACATGTGAAATAGACTGAACCAGTGGAATGGCTGGCTCACATATCTGATGTTGAGCAAAACAATACAGAGCTTTGCACACCAAACAAAAAAGAACCTGGTGACACAAGGTTCATGTGCTCACTCCTCCCTGAAAGCTTGCTGTTTCATCTGGCCATCCGTTCCTGTAAAGATTATAGTTAAGAAAACCCAAGGTGCCATTTTATTCTATCACATGAAGTCACTGCGAGTTAAAAATTGACTCAATAGCACTCCACAATAACACATGTTGAGTCAGCAACCACATAATAATTAACAGCATTTTTATGCTGTTCTTTTTGGAGGCAGGAATGAATGATGAGGTTTTGCCTCACATACTTTGGCATATTGCTCGGAGGGGCTATTCCTTGGAGAGGGACATGATGCTGGGAAGTGTGGAAGAGGGTTAGTGAAGGAGAGGAAGACCCTTGACCAGGTGGATTGACATGGGGACTGCCGTGATGAGCTCTAGTGTGTCAGGAAGTGTGAAGATAAGACAGGGTTCAGATCTGTTCTTCATAGGGTCCCTATAAGTCATACTTGACTCAACAGCACCTAACAACAACAACAAACGATGCTGGGTAGTACCTTCCTAATAGAAAAACTGGAAACTTTGGATTTGCTCATTCAGATTATTCTTTCCCTTGTTTCAGACCATAGCATTGGCAGATGGTGCCCGTGTACTATTGGAGCCAGTAACTCCATTTCTAAGTTGTGAGTGCATGGACTTTGAAATAAATCAGATTCAAATCCAGAATCAGGTTGTACCACTTATTAACAGTGTGACCTAGTCTCTCTAAAACTGTATCTTATCCTCAATATAATTGTAAAGATATTTCCCTTTTCTCAGATGAGGGAGGATTGTAAAAAAACCAACACAAATAAAACACTTACCATGGTGTCTGGGATCTCAATGAATACTCCTGATTTTTATCTTAACACATAAAAAAGCATGCTTATAAAGGGATCGTTTTAGACTAATATTAAGTTGAAAATTGTTATTTTTCCTTATTTAAAGCTGTTCTGTGGTTCATTTGTTTTCTTTTAATATATCTACAGACTAACTCACCTTCAGCAATCAACTGTAGGGCCATTCTGGTGCACTAGGGTGACTAGTGGCCATGGAATACGTGATTAAGGACTTGACTACAATGCCCGAAAGCAGCAAATAATACCAAGAATGGATGGGACTGAAAGCAGTCTCAGACTTCCTGGAGCATGTACCACTATGAAAAGATCAGGAAGTTCTCTGTTAAACAAAGACTATTTTCTAAAATTCTTGATAAGATTGTTGAGAGTGCAGTACCTTGTTCATGAATACAAGACGTTGTCTTGAAAACTGTCCATGCCTATGTATGCTTTGTTTCGTATTATCTATGCTTTGTTCCATATGTTTAAACATTTACCCACCCTATGAGATCCTGTTTTACTGTAAGCTTTGATTTTCTGCTAATAAAAGCTGGGGCTTCACAATCTCTCAGTGACATTTGCCTGAGAGAGCGATGACCCTCTGAAAACCCACATTTCTTCTTGCTGGTCTTCTCTTGACTCCATGAACAAATAAAAAAGATTTCGTGACCAAATGTGGGGCTCGAGAAGGTAAGATTGGCTATGGGAAGACACCGAAAGCGGGTTTATGGAGAACTCCATAGAGCAGAGCAGCAATATATAGCTGTTTTGCAGGGCCTGTTAGAAGGCTCAGGTGTAAGGATTACTAACAAATCCTTTAAAAAGTTATTTAAAGCAGTAAGAAAACATTGTTATTGGTTCCATCCAACAGGAAGGAATCAGTTGAATATTAAAGTTTGGAAACAGGTCAGGAGAGCCTTCAGGAGTGCATATCAGACAGGAGATCCTTCATTTCCCGTGGTGCCTCCTCCTCCTCTAACAGAGGAACTTGTTGTTGCTTGATGCCGTCGAGTCGTAGACGACTCATAGTGACCCTATGAACGAGCAGCTGGAGCACTGTTCGTACATAGAGTTTCCGGAGGCAAGCCATTTTGGAAGTGGATGCCGCTCCTGCTTCCAGAACAGAGGAAGAGAGGGATAAAAATCCTGTTTTGTTAAGAGAAAAATTCATCAAAATTTACAAATTCATCAGATTGCTGAAAAAGTAGAAGAAAAATCTTTTTTGAAGTTGTTTCAGTATGTACAGAAACACTGTTACTGGTTTAAAATAGTGAGTAGTGCAAAGCTAAATTAAAAAACTTGGCTAAATGTTGTGAGAAATTTACAAAAAGCACATGAAAAAAGAGAACAGATTCATACTGATTTTTAGCCAGGTTAGGCTTTATCATAATATAAATTAATATACTATGTTGTTTTTAAGTGCTGTTGAGCCATAGGTGACTCATAGTGGCCCGATGAACCGAAGTCCTGGACACTTCCTGTGTAACTCCTGCTTCCTAGCTTGTTTTAATCGGGAGCTTCACCAAACACTGTCCACCATGGGTAACCATTCTCGCATTTGACTCATCAGTGTCACAGTGTTGGGCTTGACAGCAACCACAAGTTACCTCTGTACAGCAAGTGAACATACCAAGGTTACACAACCTAGAAGAATGTTTCACCAAAAACAATTAAAGGCTGGCACAAGGGCCATGGAGTAGTAACAGTGACATTATTATTAAACTTGGAAGCAGGAGTGGCATCCACTTCCATAATAGCTTGCCTCTGGAAACCCTATGAACCTGGAGAAAGGACGAAAGTTATACAGGTGTCCAGGACTTTTGTTCATAGGGTCGCTATGAGGCGCCTACGACTTGATGGCAGTTAACAACAACAACAATAGCAGAGAGAGAGAGAGCACAGTTGGCCTAGAGGACAGAAAGTCATGCTTCCAAGCTTAGTAATAATGTCTATGCAGGACTGTACTCACAATCCAAGAAAACTGCAAAAAGGAATGGTTGAATCTGCATATGAATATGAATTAAGTGATATTACCTTAAAAAGTGGTAAAGCTGAAGTCAAGAAACAGCCTTTGTCACCTTAAGAAAAAACAATCCTGAATAATTGGCATGTGATAAACCAAACAACGCTCTTCCCGGAAAATTATTTACAATTTAAAACACTATTTAGAAAAAAGAAAAAAAGATGCCAAGACTCAAAACAGAGGTCTCTAAATATCTGTGTTAATTGTTCTGTTGTTGTTGTTGTTTGTTTGTTTTTTTAAAATTTGCTGTTATTGGGGTTTTTTTGTTGTCTTTTTGTCTTATGTTTAATGTGGTAATAGTTTTGAGCTCATACAATTTGATAATTTCAGTAAAAAAGAAAAGTAAAAGATGTAAGAATGAAGTTAAGAAAACTCTTAATTTGGAAAATGAAGAAAGCAAAAAGTAAGTAAAAGAGTAAAAATGAATAAAGAAATTAGAAGCTGCAGCTGAAAAAATTTTAAAAGGATAAAATCTTTAAATTAGTAAAATAGACTGTGTTTGGCAGTCAAAGTCTGGCTAGCTTGTTTACTTTTAGCAGTCCAGAGTTGAAATTAAACAAACAAGCCAGTCTTTCACAGCTGCATAGATAAGTGATCTAGAAGTTTAGAAGCAAAAAGTGCCTAAAACTATAAAAATTGATAATGTATCTTCCTATTGTTCTCAAAAATTAGTTTTCTATTGTTATTATAACATATGTTTTTTGATATTTCAGAAAATAGTATAGGACAAGCAATTCTAAAAGAAATAGAACATTAAAAATATTTAATAAAACAAGAAAGGGGAGTTATAGGAAATTCTTCTCTAAAGAAAAGAATATTAACAACACTATATACTTTAAATTCTTAAATTGTGGTAAGAATAGCCAATCAGCTGCTGATTTGCATTGGTCTTATAACAAGGATGTTCCATCAGATGAGTTATAGCAACCCATTTTTACTTGGATAGCACTACTAATATTTGGAAAAGGGATCATGTAATCAAAGGAGGAAGAGGTTTTGCTTATATTTCTACAGATTCATTAGAAGGAATTTGGATTCCTGAAAAAAGAATAAAATTGAGACATGGCTAACAAGAAGTCCGATATGATAAATCTTACTGCCACCTTGACCAACATGGATCTACAATAAAGAAACTTTCAATACCCAAAAGCAACCAAGAGAACACATCTGGAGAATTTTCTAAATTGGGAGCAGCTGAAATGCCTTTCCTATGAAGGTGAAAAGTTGGTGGAAAAGAATGGACAAAATTTAAATGCATCCATTTTGTTTCTTTCTATGCTAGCTTTGGTGTCTACCCAGGTAGCTATGATGAAAGCTGAAAATCATACTTATTGGGCATATATTCCAAATCCTCCTTTGTTAAAAGCTGTTTATTGTTGGTACCCTATGATTAACATGTATATTAATGATTCAGACTGGATGCCTGGTCCTTATGATATGCGTGGTCCAGCTGTGGCTAATGAAGAGGGGAGGGAAATTTATAACTATACTATAGGAGCTATAGGTACCCCAATTTGTTTTTGATCTGATCCACATTGCTTAAAGATTATCTGTAAAACATGGTTATCCATTTTACAAAATGATACTACATGACAATATGTTTATTTTCAGTGTTTAGGGATTAAAAAGTATCAGTTACTCATTTCAAGATATCCCAGATCTTCCAGTGTGTCAGGCTCCTACTTTTTCTCATTTAAATAATTGGATACACTCGTTGTAAAGGAGAGTCTGCCTGAGTATTAGTTAATACTTCCTATGGAATCGTCATAGATTGGAGCCCTTTTGGTTCCACTTGGGAGAAATCTAAAGATACAGATTTAAAATGGAAACAAAACTATCCGTCTATTAGTACTCATGCTCATAATAATATTACTTGGCATGGAAGAGGAGTGTCGCCTCCTTCCCCACATATGCCTGGCATCCCACATCAAAAGGATCTTTGGAAACTAATGTTAGCATTAGGCAAAGTCAGGAGCTGGAGAGGAGGAATGATTTCTAGAAAAAACCAAGATTTTAATTTGATAGTGAATCTTAATGAAACTAGATCTTTACAAAGCTGTGTTAAGTTACCATATGTACTTATGATTGGAAATATCACCTGGGAAGAGGAGAGTGGCTTAATGTATTGCAAAAAATGTTCTCTATACACATGTTTGAATTATAGTGTTAATGTTAACATACTGAACATATATATATATGCTTACAGCTAGAGCAAGCTTATGGTTGCTAGTTTTCAGGAATCGACCATGGCAAGAGTCCTCTAACACCATGTTGATACAAGCCCTAGTAGATGGGTTAATAACAAGAACAGAAAGATTTATAGGAATATTAATTGCTGTCATACTAGGTATCATAGCTGTCACTGCCACAGCTGCAACAGCAGGGAGGGGCCTTCTCTCAGAGTGTACAAACCATCGAGTTTGTACAAAACTGACATAAAGATTCAGAAACTCTTTGGTCAAATCAACCTCAAATAGATGCAGAATTAGCTGATTTACAACAGACAGTTGTACTATTGGGAGATCAAGTTGTTAACAAATGCATTTAAAATGTGATTGGAATACAACCTCATTTTGTGTAATGCCAGTAGAATATAATGAAACTATGTTTCCTTGAGAAAAGGCTAAAAAACCATTTGCTTATGCATCAAAATTTTTCTCAGTCCATTTTGGAGCTGCAAACTCATATTCAAGCCACTTTTAGTAAAAAATTACATACTGTATCTGGACATGACACAGTTTCAAAAATTAGCGGAAGGAAAATCTTCTTCAGATCCCACAAAGTATGTTAAGTTATTATTTGGAACTGCTGCTGGTATGATGATTATAATAATCTTTTTTGTTAATTGTGCTCTACCTAGTCTGTAGAAGATTCCAAGTCAACTCCTGAATGAAAAAACAGCAAGCAGCGGTTTTCTCTGTGCTCATTAACAACAAATTATCAAGATCTGCTAAAATAAAAAAGGGGGAAATGTAGATCATTCTGGTGTACTAGGGTTACTAGTGGCCATGGAGTACGTGAGAAAGGACTTGGCTACAATGCCAGAAAGCGGCAAATAATACCAAGAATGGATGGGACTGAAAGAAGTCTCAGACTTCCTGGGGCATGTACCACTATGAAAGGGACAGGGAAGTTCTCTGTTAAACAAAGACTATCTTCTAAAATTCTTGATAAGATTGTTGAGAGTGCAGTACCTTGTTCATGAATACAAAGATGTCTTGAAAACTGTTCATACCTATCTATGCTTTGTTCCATATTATCTATGCTTTGTTCCATATGTTTAAACATTTACCCACCCTATGAGATCACGTTTTACTGTAAGCTTTGATTTTCTGCTAATCAAAACAGGGGCTTCACAATCTCTTAGCGTCATTTGCCTGAGAGAGTGGTGATCTTCTGAAAACCCACATTTCTTCTTGCTGGTCTTCTCTCAACTCCGTGAACACATAAACAATAATCAACCCATGCCAATGACAGTCCTGCAACTATTACTATGAAAAATAGCATGAGTAAGAATAACTCTATTCTTAAGTCTGTAGTGAATCAATTTGGGTGACTTTCTGAGTCATACTCTTCCTCTCAATATAATAAACATATTGTAAGCACAGTTTGTGTAGGGGCTGTGGTGGGGAGGAAGACATTGTGCAGAACTTTTGTGCTCAAAATACCACAGGCTGATAAACTGCAAGGAATATTGACTAAACACAACAGTGGAAATGTTTTCTTGGAAATTAATCTGTTTAGTACAAATGTTGATGAGAACAAAAACGTACTCTGAGTTAGGCTCAAGCTTACTAAAGACTACATGGATGTGACTGGATTGATCCAAGCTCCAAATTCTATTTGCAAACTAGTGATTTTTTTTTTCATTAATGCTTAGACCTTCGCAGTTACTCAGACTGGAAACCTCAGAGTTTTTCTATTTATCAGATCTCTGTCCAGACTAGTTGACTTGCAGTCAATTCCAGACTCAGGTGCGTCAGAGTAGAACTGGACGTCCTATCAACACCCTAACCCCTCAATGGAGAGCTCTGGGGGCCTAAATGTTAAGGAGTTGCACTACTAACCCAAAGGCATGTGATTTGAATTCACCAGTGCCTCCATGGCTGAAAGATGGTAAATATCCTCCCTGTGATTTACAGCCTCTGAAAACCCGCTGGAGGGTCAGTTCTGGGTGGGTTCTGACTCAACAGTACATAATAATAACAATAATACCTCCAACTATATGACATTTTACAAATGGCATGCAATGACATTCTCTCCTACAACCATACTACTACAGGTCCAGTTCAGGGCCTCATGATTGCACACAGAGACTACAGTAAAAACCTAGTGAATTCTATTACTTTCCACAATGAGGTATTTGTGGTAGAATCCTTGCCTTTTATACTAGAGACAAGGGTTCAATTCCTGTGCATCATCTCTTCAGCCTTTTGCCTGGATTGCATTGTTTCTCCTTTTGCTAAGACAGCTCACAAGAACAATTAGCTTTCCACTTTTCTGAAGAACAGATCTAATAATGTCACTTTATTGTTGGAGAAGTATGTCTTGTTCCACTATGAGTTCTCCAACAGATGAATGAGTGTTTACTCATCCCAGCAACTAAAACAACAGGAATGTGGGGAAATATAGACAAATAACCTAAATAAAAACATTTTATTCAGACCAGTAATAAAAAGAAATCCCAGACATCATACAATATTGGACTTACCTGTCAATAGATCCTTGTTTAGTTTTTCTCTACTTATTGAAAGAATATACTGCAAGAAAAATACAGTTAGTAAAATACAGTTAGTAGTGTTTATTTTGAAAGAGTGAACAAAGATAGTCCTAAGTTGTTCACTGCAAGGTTAGTTTTATAATAATTATCTAAATGACCCCTTTCTGTTTATTTTTAAGCAAAGTATCCAAATACATATGATGCAAGGGCAAAGTTTAAGGTTAGTTTTTGTTTTGTTTTGTTTTGTTTTGTTTTTTAAATTTGATAGCATAGGAACCAATCCTCATTCTTATAGGGGAGAAATGTGGTGTTTATGGAAATAATAGGAAGTCAACATTAATAATAAATCTTTTCAATCCTAGGTATCCAAGTTTAAGAAAAACTCAGCAGTGACTTAAAACAAAAGTAGTGTTTTCCTTATACCCTAAAGAAACCATAAGTGCCACCCCGGCAGATAATGCACACCCATATTTATCGCAGCTTTGTTCACAATAGCAAACAGTTGGAAAGAACCTAAGTGCCCATCAACAAACGAATGGATAGAGAAGCTGTGGTACATTTACCCAATGGAATACTATGCTGCATTGAAAAACAAGGAACTCATGCAATATTATTCAAAATGGGTCACCCTGGAGGACATTATGCTGAGTGAAATATCTTAGTCACAAAAGGACAAATACTGCATAGTGTCACTGTTGTAGGACGGGACTGACATCAGGGTTGGGGTGAGACTGAGAAAAATTGGATAAATTATGTATACTGCATTGAAACAGATGAGGGAGAGAACAGTTTAAAAACGATATATGATTGGGTATTATGGTTATCACAAGAGTCCAGAATGAAGGTTGCATAGTGGAGTGTACTCGGGGTGGGGAATTGTATACCAATGAAAGAATTTTACTTTTCAAAGAGAAGAGAAAACTCAGGGGGAGGGGTGGGCAGGGAGAAAAATGCAACAATGAATGAATGGAAATCCAAACTCTCTGTAAACATTCATTAAAATTAATAAAACAAATTTTTTTTAAAGTTGTGTAGCCCAAGTGACAGCAATAAGGGCTTCATGGTCATGTCAAAGCTGTGTGGGTGGTGTTGGTAGGGAGGAAAGAGAGTTAGTAGGCAGCCCTGGCTAGGACAGATGTTGTTAGCTGTTTGCGACCTTATAGAATACTTCATCATTTTTTATTTGGATAATTAATTTTTTAAATGTGAATTTTTGCTTATATTAAGCCCAATAGGTGCAGTGTCAAGAACCTATAATACTTTAAGGCATCCATTAAAATATTTAAATCATTTCTTTAAATTCAAAAGGAAAAAATAACTGCAATAATGAAACAATTTGCAATAGTAAATATAGGCTAGATTATAGTAACCTGAATCATACACAGTCATAAAATTTAATTATTAATATTTAATTTTTTTATAGAAAGAGGTCCACAAAGGCAAAAATGCAAAGGACACATGAAATCACAATTGTAATGAGCTGCCCATCAAGTCAGCTCCAACTTAAGACACCTGAATATCACATAACAAAACATTCCCCAGTCCTATGGCTTAGTGGTACAGAGCTGTGCTGACAACTCCAAGACATGTGGTTCAAATCCACCAGCTGCTCAGCAGGGGAGAAATGGGCAATAACCACCCTTGCAATTATCTGCCTCTGAAAACCTGCTGAAGGAAGGGTCAGTTATGAGTTGGTTTAATGCAACGCTACATAACAAACAACAATGCCATTTTCACAGGCCTTGCCATGGTTGAGTCTGTGTTGTAGTCAGTTGTGTATGTTAAGTGCTTTCCATGCTGGGGGGAGGGTTGTCATCATCCAATGTTAAATCAGTCAATATCCCGTTGTGAATCCATAATGTGTTCATATTGTAAGTTTCAAAAGTATATCACAAGAGCATTTTCCCTAATCTGTCTTAGTTTGGAAGCTTGGCTGAAAACTGTGCACCATTTTGGGCCCTGCTGGAGTTTGAAACACCTGGTAAGCTCTGGTAGCCTACTGGATGGCAGCTGTGCTGCCAACCCTAAGACACACTGTTCAAATCTACCAGCTGCTCTATGGGAGACAGATGCACAATTTCCTCCCATATGATTTAAAGCCTCCAAGAACCTGCTGAGTGGTCAGCTATGAGTCAGTTCAGAGTCTCCAGCACTCAACAACAGTGACATAGCTTCCAGCATCCCCACAGCACACAGTCCACCCAGTAAAACAGACAGATGGATGGTGGGATGTCATAATTCAATTCAAGGAGAATCTATAGCTTAAAAAATTTAAAGTGATATTATAGAACATGGTAATATCTAATAAATATGCTAACTTATGATTTCACTGTATTAAAAAATACAAGTTTTTTAATGACAGCGAAATTGACACATAATATAGAAGTAGCTTGGTCTTGCTCCAGTGACACAGGAGTTTCCTGTGTCTTTGATGTAAGTGAAAATGACCAGAGGCCTCTAAATATGCTTTCTCGTAGTTCTGTTTCTAGTCTTTTACATGATTAATAACCACATCTCAAAGGAAATCAAACATGTGCAAAGCATGCCAGGAAACATTCAAATCAGGAAGAATCATTTATGAGGGGGAATATTCTGTTTTGTTCAATTCTCAGATGTGGTTGATGTCTGTCTCTTCTTAAAAGTGACACATCAGTCTTAGAGTGACATCAGGGATTCTTAATAGGCCTGGTGGCTTGGTGATAAGGCTGTCAACCCAAAGGCAAGCGGTTAGAATCCACCATCTGTTCTGCAAGAGAAAGATGGGCAATCTCCTTTCATGTGATTTACTGCTTCTGAAAACCCTCTGGAGGATCAGCAGTCCATGGGTCCATGGATCAGCCTAGCATAGAGGATTATGGATTGGTTCTGACTCAGTGATAGTTAACAACAACAACAACAGTATCTTTAACCAAAACTTAGAAGTGCTTTTTCAAGTCTCTTTTCTCTAATACTTCATATAAATAGCATAAATTATTTTGGAAGGAATAAAAGAGGAATGAAGAATAAATCAGAATAAAAAATCCACCCCATGAGAATTGCAAAGTAATTTTTGTGGAAAATAAAATTTTTTTAAGTATGAGCTAAGGACATTGGATAATCTCCTTAGAGACATATAAGACAATTTTTTCACTTCTGGTGTAAAAAAAAAGTTATTACTTTCTAGACCATAAATGCCTTCAAATATGAATGTTTCCCAGTAGAGGGGAATTGCGTTATTCTTCACTGGAGTGTTTTGTGAGATTTGGGGCATAGGAGATTATAAATAGAAATTGGGGAGTTCAGAGCTGTTTTGTACCCTGGAAAAAACTTTTAATGGTTCTCAAGGAAGTCTGGAAGGGAGTGAGAAGAAGAAAGTGGGACAGGCAGAGTCTACATACAAATGAGAGAAAAGGCAGAGAAAAAACTCAAACATTTGGATCTAGGAGGATCAGGGAATGTGGCTAAAGGAATCTGGAAATTAGATTTTACATATTGTTGTTTCTTCTGTCCAGTCAATACTGTGAACGAGATCAAACCTTTTCCTAGCTTTATTAACCATCACAAGAACATGGAAACAGCCCAAATGTCTAGCCACAATCAAATGGATTAAGAAATTATGGTACATTCATAAGATAGAATACTATGCAGAACGCAGGAGCAATGATTTTGTAAATTACTACCTAACTTGGGAGGGATTGGAGAGCATCATGCTGAGTGTCCCATAAGGACAAATACTGGATAAAACCATTGTTGCAGAATGAGTATGGGGATCCAAGTGGGGGAAGAGGGTGGAAGCAGAGGGGTGAGGATGGGCGGGTGGGAGGTTAATCATAAGGTTGCACAATTTGATGGGGGCGGGGTGTGAAGGAAAAGGGAAAGATCCAGTGTGAAAAATAATGTATTCGAACTTTGTAAATAAACCAGTATAAAATTTTAAAAATAAAAATATCAACCAAAACCCCTTGTGCTGTCCTCATGATCTAATCCCTACTCAAGCACCATTGTTACAGTTCCTGTGTCAGTCCATCTTTTTAAGGGTCTTCTGCTCTTTCACTGACCTCTCTTCCAAAGACTGACCATTCCTGACAACATGTCAAAGTGTACAAGATGAAGCATCACCATTGTTGCCTGTGAAGAGCAGACCCGTTTGTTCTTTTGGTAGTGCATGGGACATTTAATTAGGGCTTTCAAAATTATTTTATTAACTAGTTACAATGTGATCCCTCCTGGGTCCCTAGGTCTTCAGTGTATTCATGTATCATTTGAGCAATCATGTTTTAAGAAACGTGTGGAAGGAGTGAAGGAATAAATTTCAACAAGGTACAGAGCTGGTAACTATGTGTGTGGCAACGGGCAGCCTAGACACCGGAGAGACCAAGAAAAAGTGAACTTCCTGCTAATCTGTGGAAATTCTGGGACTTTGGCTTTCACCAGCTTTGGAACAGATTAGTGCAAAGTTCCATATCAGTCTTTAGGGGCCTGGGGCCTCATGTTTTGCTGTGTTATTAAAGTAATGATGCAAACTGAAGTGCAGGCTGTAAACTCAGCACCATTTCAGATCCTAAGAATGAAAAAAATAGGAGACTCATGGGGAGGGAACATTTCTTTCTTCTTGGAATATATTGAAGACGCTACAATGGCAGCTTCTAACAACACTTAAGAAATTATTGAGAAAAATCTCTCACGCCTCTTGTTTCTCTTTTATTTTCAGGACAGTCCATTTTGGGCTCAGGTCCAAGTCATGTTACTTAACTAGTTTTTCTGATATTTTGAACTTAAAATCATTCCTTTGTCTATCCTGAGATAAGTGTTTCCAGCTCATATGCACATGAATGCTGTTGTTGTTATGTGCCCTCGAGTCGTTTCAGACTCATAGCGACCCTATGCACAACAGCCCTAAACCCTGCTCTATCCTGCGCCAACCGCACCGCCTCTGACACACCCATCCCGATTACCCCAGTCACCGAATCAATCCATCTCATAGAGGGTCTTCCCCTCCTGCGCTGTCCCTCCACCCTCCCAAGCATGATGTCCCTCTCCAAGGACCCGTCCCTCCTGGCACCATGTCCAAAGTATGTCTGACGAAGCCCCAGAATCCTTGCCTCCAAGGAGCAGCTTGGTTTAATCCTCTCCAAGATTAATCTGTTTGTTTTCCTGGCAGTCCATGGTACATTCAGTACCCTTCTCCAGCACCACAGCTCAAAAGCATCCACTCTCCTTCTGTCCTCCCTAGTCATTGTCCAACTCTCTGATGCATAACAAGCGATTGCAAATACCTTGGCCTGTATCAGGTGCACCTTAGTCTCCAGAGAGACACTGTTGCTCCTGAGTACCTTTGAGAGGTCCCTAACAGCAGACTTTCCCCCACAATAAGGGATTTATCTTTAACTGCTCCACAAATTGCTGTCTGTCAGATACTCCTCTAAATCTGAACATTCAGATTAAGACAGACTAGGAAGAAGGATTGGCCACCCACTTCTGAAATAGCAGGCCTCTGAAAACCCTATGCACAACATGAATGCTAGACAATAAATAAAAGAGAGACAAAAGAAGAATTGATGCTCTTGAGTTGCCATGTTTGTGAAGTATACTTAGCATACTAAAACTGTCAGAAGATGTACAGCCAGAATGCTTCTTAGAAGCAAAGATGGTGACGTTTCATTTAACATACTTTGGACATACAATCAGAAGTGGCAAGTTCCAGGAGAAGGACATCATGCATGGTAAAATAGAGGGCCAGCATAAAGGACAATGATTCTCAGTGTTAACATAGTTGCTGCAACAATGAGCTCAAATAGCAATGACTATGGAGATGGTAATGGAGCTCTGGTGGCCTAGGTGGCAAGAAGCTGAGCTGCAATCCCAGAGGCATGCAGTTCGAGGCCACCAGCAGCTCTGTGGGAGAAAGATGGGCAATCTCCTCCCGTGTGCTTAACTGCCTCTGAAAACCTGATGGAGGGCCAACTATGGGTCGGTTCCAATTCGATGATACACAACAACAACAACAGTGGAGATAGTAGAGAGTTCTGGTAGCTTAGTGGTAAGAAGTTGTGCTGCCAACCCAAAGGCACACAGCTGCTCCACAGGAGAAAGATGAACAATCTCCTCCCAGGCAATTTACCGCCTCTGAAAACTGGCTGGGAAGTCAGTTATTAGTCGGTTTCAACAACAGTAATAACATGAAGGAGCTGTGGTGATTTAGTCCCTAGTGTGTGTGCTGGTAAACTAATAGCCACATAACTAGCAGTTCACACCTACCAATGGCTCAGGAGGAGAAGATAAGCAGTGCCCTTTTGTTAGGATTTTCAGCTTCTCTGAAGAAAAGGCGCCAGTGAATAGATCTGTATGGTGTATAGTCCAGCCAAAAAGGTAGAAAAATAATAACAGAAAGGAAAAGACTCAAAACTATCAACACCAAGATCAAAAGGTCAAGAACCTTTCAAAAAACAGGAGAAAGATCTCCTAAAACACCAAAATGGCCTAGTTTTGTAGAAGACATTAAAGCAAAAATGCAAGCAAGTATAGAAAAGGCACTATAGTCCTAGACACTATTGGTAAATTAAGCCCAAAGATGGGGAGGGAAAAAAGGAGAACTAAATATAGTCGATACTGAGTATCATCAGCAGTCCAGAGTGAAGTCTACTTTAATCTCATCCCTTTTCTGATTTGCCACATACCAGCCCTTTGCAGGCTGGAAGCCGTCTTCTATATTTCCTAAGGCACTTTCTACTGACTGTCTTGATTCAGTGAACCATATTGTGCTTTTTTATTTATGCCTTAACCTCAACTTTTTGGAACATGTTTCATAAACTTTGTTATCTCCCTAGAACTTCAATCAATATTTGAATAAGTAAAAAAAAAAATTACAGCTTCTGAAACTCAAAAGAGGATAGATAGAAATCAGAGTTGACTCAATGGGAATGAGTTTATGAAAATGGTGCAGAACCAAATAGCATGTCTTTCAGTGGTACAGAAGTTTGCTGGAAGTTGGAACCACTTGAGCATTATAACAACTTATCTATTCCTGATGTATAACGACAAGGCTGAGAAGAGCCAGGGAGGAGTCAACAAGCAGAGGTTAAGTTCTAGACATCAGATTTTTTT